GCAGGGGGTCGGACTAGATGATCTCCTCAGGTCCCTTCCGACCCTACCAACTATGAAACTATGAAAACATAGCTACCTCCTCAGCAGCCATAAGAACTTTCTTAAAGAAGAAATAAAATCTCATAATGCACCTAGACAGGTGTGGAATGTTGTACATTAGGAAAATTTCTCTTTCATTGAAAGGCAAACTATTTTTTCCATAAAGCATGCATATCTACAAATATTCTTTCTTCACTCTGCATTTAGGAACCAATTTGTATATACCAAAGGATTCTAAACTAGTCTCAGAGATATTCCTGTCCTGGAGTGGCATAACTTTAAACTGAATAATGAGCGCTTTAAACCAGTTAAAGATATTAAAGTGTAGCCAATCCAGGGGTTAATGGCTGCCTAAAATTATTTTACAACAAGGTCCTGAAATGCCACCCTGCCCTGTCTCCTCAAAACTGGGATTATAGAATACATCCTGGGCCCAGTGAAGTTAGTGGTTAAAGTACCACTGACTTTAGAGGGTCTAGGATTTACCCTATGTCTAATTTGTAATGGGAGTTTCCTTAACATACTGATAAGTGATATGGATATGGTTGAATAATAATAATAATAATGACCCATACACACACATACCTAAAGTCTCATTTATCTTTTTTATATTAGCATACACAAACTTAAGGACTAAACTCAACTGTGAATCAAACTTCTAGATGGTCAAGTAGCTATAAGAAAACTTAGTGTGCATGTCTACATATGCAGATAATGCACAGAAAACTTACTGCACTGTTAAGTACTGTGCAGTAAGTTTTCTCTGAGTGCATGTCTACATGTGTATCCATCAGGAGCAAATTTGCTTCCTATGGGAGCAGTTCATGGCAGGGATACTCCTGCCCTGCTCTGCTACTATTTGGCGGCCAGGTGGTGCTCTAAGCTCCCCGGGTACTAGCCCAGGTCTGGCAGGGAGCACTGAGGTCAGGTCTGGGCTCTGGGGCGCAGGGGGAGCTGTCCCATCTCTGGGGCAGCTGTCTTCCATCCCACCTCTGCCCGAGGCAGCTGCCTGCTGAGCAACCCCAAATCTGATCACGGAGCACGGGCTGGGACAACGACTCCTGCCTCTGCAGCAGGCAGCTCCCGGCCCCCAGCAACAAGACTGGCAATTTTCTCCTGGTCAGCTATGTAACTGTGTGCTACTGTGTAATAGCTACTGCACAGTAAATCTACTACCTGTAACAGGTAGTAGAAAACTGCACAGTACTAATTTACTGCACAGTAGCTCCTGTGCATGGTTACATAGTGATGCTTTGCTGCACAAATTAGTCTACTGTGCAGTAAAGCATCTCATGCAGACACACCCAGCAAATATGAATCAAATTGTGCTTAGAGTTGCAGAGGTGCCCTGCTTAACACTAGTTCTGGAACTAGAAATTAAATTAATCTAAATTTGAATCCTTCAGCTTTCTGGGTGTCAAACTTTGGAAACCTAGACTTTGGAATTCAGAGATGCTGAGTTTCAGAGGTCACAATGAGCTGGAATTTAACAAAATGAATCATTGATGCCACAGATTCTCTGACAGTCCTGTAAATTTTTCAGTCTAGATTATACTGAAGTTATAGCATCAGCTTTTGAGTTATAGGTAATGATAGGGCCACTGTGTTTGACAATTGCCTATACAGGAGCACAAAGCAGCATTGCATGTGCTAGCTCTGGAAGTGGAAGCAATAGAGTCACGCTAACATGCCTATCCACCTTCCAGATTTGGAGCTAGCAGGCTAGCTCAAGTATCTCTGCATGATGCTGCCTTGTGCTCTGTAATTTGCATATACAAATTAACTCATTTGCTGCTGGCTCAGTCTATCTCTAGTATGACATTGGCATAACCTTATCTTCAAACATTCAGGGGGAATCTAATGTGTAAGGCTAACTCAACTAGCCTTTGTGGAAAGTATGGAAGAAAGGTGGAACTGGAATTATGGCTCCATTTCTTCAGCATCTTAGGGGCCAGTACCACTAGACACATTGCCTCATTGATGTCCAAAGAGCAAGGAAATCAATGGAAAAGAGAGGGAAATGGCTCCCTTACCCTATCTTGTATACTCTTCCAAAACAGGCCAGAAATGGCTATAACCATTTTAAAGCAGAATGGAAATCTATTCCTATTCCTTTGTATTGGGCTATTGTCAAAGTGACATTGCTTTTCAAAGAGACAGTTATCTCCAGCATAGATACGCCAAATGGAATTAAAAACTTGTGGTAAGAAGTCTTTTTCCTCCAACTGATTAATGGTGACAGGTGCTTTTTACCTTTTGAACTTCCATACTGTTTAGCTTTGCAACATTCTTCAGATTCTTTCTTGGCATAACCTTATTAAATTATCTGAAGGTACAAACTGGGCCAGGATAAACTGGACCAAATGTGGTGAAATTATGACTCTATCTTTTAGCACTGACTTCTCTCATAGGATTTTTAACTTCTGATCAACCATACATGAATTTAGTAACACAAGTCTGTAAATTTAATTCTTTTAAAAATGGAGTGCTTATTGTATTGTAGAGTTCAGAACTTGCTTTAATGTAAATAGACTCAATATGAACCAAAACAAACTAAATATTTCTCAATCTGGCATGGCCTTATGCTACAAGCACTAAAATTAAGTGTCCAAAATTAACAAACGCTGGCTCAAATACACCACTGGTATTAGGAAGCAAAAGTCTCATTAAAGTTAATTTTAGTAGAACTTGCTTAGGCAAAGAGTGCTTTTGACCTACAGTTTTGCAGTAAACAGTTTGGATATTATTATTGTGCATAATTTAAAAAAAGAAAATAAGGTCTTTATCATGCAAAATGAGCTGTCTGTGCAAGCATTTATGCTCAGATGGGATCATATTCATGTTGGGCATGAAGGTTTACATGATCTGAAAACTTGAGTCTTGAAGCCTAAGTATCTGAGAGAAGGT